ACATTCTCCAGTGTTTTTTTCTTTCTTTTCTTTTGTGAAACAGAGTCTCACTTTGTCACCTTCAGTAGAGTGCCATGTCATCATAGCTCACAGCAACCCCAAACTCTTGGGCTCAAGTGATTCTTTTGCCTCAGCCTCCCATGTAGCTGGGACTATAGGCACCCTACACAGTACCCAGTTATTTTTTTAGAGATGGGGTCTTGCTCTTGCTCAAGCTGGTCTCGAACCTGTCAGCTCAGGCAATCCACCCACCTCAGTCTCCCAACTGCTGGGATTACAGGAGTGAGCCACCGGGCCTGGCCCCACTGTGTACTTTCTTCTTAACAGTGTTTCCTTTACTGAGGTGTGTCATGCTACATTTGCCACTCCCAAGATGATTGTAGACTTCCTCAATGAACACAAGACCATCACATTCCAGGGGTGCATTTCACAAATGTAGGGTTTTTTCTTTGCACATTTTCAGGAGTAGTGATATGGTGATCCTTGTCACCTTGGCCTATGATAGATATATTGCTATATGAAACCCCTGAATTACCTGATTATCATAAGCTGAAGGGTGTGCACACTTCTGGTGGAAGTCTTGTGGGCCATTGGGATCCTACACTCAGCCAGCCCACATGGCATTCACAGTTGATTTCTGATCCTATGGACCCAACAAGGTAGATAATTTTCTTCTGTGACTTCCCCCTAATGATCAAACTTGCCTACTTAGCCCTCTATGTTTTGGAGATCCTTATACTCACCAATAGTGGTCTTCTCTCATCTGTTTCCTCCTTTTGTTCATTTCTTACACTTTCATCCTTGTTATTATCCATTGCCAAGCCTCTAGTGGGTTGTGCAAGGCACTCCCTGCTCTGTTGGCCCACAGTTACTGTTGTGGTTATGTTCTTTGGGCCATTAATCTTCATCTACATTTAGCCCCTTGAAATCTTTACAGTTGATAAATTTACCTTGTGTTTTTACTGTCTTCACTTGTCTCCTTAACTCTATGATTTATACTCTGAGGAATAAAGATTTAAAGGAAGTCACAGGAAGCCAAGAAGCTGACATGTGGGTTCCAAGCAGAGTTATTAAACTGTGAAGAAGTAATACAAATAAGAACCCAAAGATGAAACCATCCTCTTATTCCCATATGATCTTTGATAAAGCAGACAAAAACACACAATGGGGACAAGAAGCCCTATTCAATAAATGGTGCTGGGAAACTGGATCAGTACATGTAAAAGCCTGAACCAGGATCTGCACCTCTCACCTCTCACAAAAGTTAATTCATGATGAATAAAATAGTTAAACCTAAGGTACAAAACTGTACAAATTCTAGAAGAAAGTATTAGAAAAACTTATAGATATTGGCTTAGGGAAGGAATTTATGAAGATGACCCCAATGATCATCAGAACAACAACAAAAATAAACAATTGGAACCTTATCAAATTAAAAAGTTTCTACACAGCCAAGAACACAATCAATAGACTAAGTACACAACCTACAGAATGAGAAAAAAATTTACATGCGTCTGATAAAGGACTGATAACGAGGATCTACAAAGAACTCAAGAAAATCAGTAAGAAAAAAAAGCTGAGTAGAAAGAATAGCAATCAAGGAAGGGTACTGGGAAGTATGGGTCAAAGAGATATTTAAGAGATCTCTTGTCAAACGTAAGAAGGGATGAAGAATCAGCTTGGTTCTGATCATAAATTCCACCCTGTGGAAGGCCCATCATAGTAGAGTAGGAAGAACATTAGATAAAGGGTATAAGTTGGGGCTCTAAATTGGATAGTACAATCAGAGTCAAACAGCTAATTGTTCAGGAGTCCATTCATCCTATCTATGTATTTAGGATGTTGGACTGGTTGGTTTCTAGTATCCACACTAGCATCAAAATTCTATGAGATAAGAAGACATCTTTTACTTTGTCCTTTATTATTCTGTCTTTGAATGAAAAATAACCTTAGGGAAGGAGAAAATCTGAGCTTCACTCAACAGCATTTTTCTCCTTAAAATTTGAGCTAAGATTTTCAAATGTTTGTACGACTATTTGGAGTCTCTTTACTATTTTGTATGATGCAACATCTCTATTGTGAAACAGTTTTATTCCCCTATCTTAGAACTTTGTCTTGGAAACCAAGCATGTGGCTCATCTGAAGCTGTTAAAATATTAAGGTGTTTGCCCTGCTGTGTAGTATACAGAATTACATAATAACTCCTTAGCAGTTGTTGTCACTCCCAGTTGTGTTCTTTTTAAGCACCTCTGAAGCAGAAAGGACTAGCAAACTCAATTACTCATTGCTTTTCTTTCTACCATGTTACATCTTCTCTACCAGGACATAGCATTAGTCCATTAATCATCTTACTGCTTGATCTATTTGTGAAATCCTCAAGGTGATGCACTATAATTCTTGTGAGCAAATAAATTCTCTCATGTAATTATCCCTGATGAAGGTGATTTCTGCTATCACAACTCTCCTGTGGGTCTCTTGGTCACTACAGTCCAGTGACGTCAAATTCCTAATTAGCTTCTAATCATTGATATGGCTTTCCTTATATCTGTATGCTGAGTATATTGACACTACAGGTAAAAGTGAAGACTGAAGTCTGGATAGACATGAGTTCCTTACTTTTGTCCCCCATCTAATGGCTCCTGAAGAATTCCCCCTACCCTCCGGTAGGTGCTAATATTAAAAGGCCAAAGCCAGAAATTATAGTATTTTTCCCAGCCTCCTAACTAAGTCAGAATGGAGAATAGAGAAGGACAATTATTCTCTCTCCTTTCAATTGGTCTTTGAATATTTTGTTTCCATTAAGTTTTGTACAAATACCTAACTCTGAAAAGTTTCAATTGCTGTATTACCTTGCTGAAACTGGGAAAGTTTTACTCTTCTAATTAAATATGCTTTTATTTTAATGCAACTTTTTACAATTACTTTTATCATTGACTTGCTTTTTTTGCATAATCCTTTCAAAAGGATCCTTTCTCTTTTAAAGAGGCACAATGTATCTGGAAGAGTATGAATAGGATGAATTGAAATGGATATTTTCTATGTTCCAGGCTAATACTTCTTTTATATGATAGTTCATGATGTTCTTGGATGTCATCCATTGATTTGAACCTCAGGTTACTTTGAAGCTTATAATTTAGAATGGTTCTTATTAATTCATGACTAGAAAATAGTAACATAAATAACTCATAAAAGCCAAAATATCCTGTTGGATACATATCCTATTTGTGAAAAAAAGTGTATCTCATATATGATGCTTATCTTTCAGAATCTTATTAGTATGTGTGTTGCAAATAAATTTATTGTATTACTGAACAAGATGTTTGACCTACTTATATAATGATTATATATAACATGTATCTGAGAAGCAAGTAAAAACTTCCCTATGCTTTGAATCAAGGGAAAGTGAGATGAAGGGAAGAAAAAGCCTAAATATTTCCTAAAATGATAAAGTTTTTGATAAAATGATGCAATATTCTTAAAGCATCTCTAGAGATCCCAAATCATATAACAATCACTATTATCAATGATACTTCTTGAAGATATTCTTGTTAATTAAAAAAACTTATATGAAATTGTTTTAGATGAATTTGCTGAGGCTTCCTTTTGAAAACAGTGTTTGAACTCCTTCGAGAATTACATCCATATTTCTGGACAAGTTAGATGATAAGTTGGCAGGTAGTATTTTCCTAAGAGATATGAGTGAAATATTCAGTACTTAAATCTGCAATAGAGACCAGGAAATAATCTTTTCCAAGTGGCTCTTAGTATGATTAGTTTCTAGAAGCATTTGAAAGTTATTTGTGGACATCTAGTTAACTACTGTTGTAAATGGAAGCAATATAGCTACAGTTAGGCCAAATTTCCTTAGTAAAATTGTGAAACAGAAGTTTTTGTTTTCAGTCTTACCCCTGTTAGTCTATTAAATATTTTTCTTCTTTCAAATACCTGATTGCTTCAAGAGCTCCCCTAGCTACCTAGGACTTGGATTAGAATACAGCATCTAGCCCTATTTTACTCCCTTGAAGAGAGCTCATTTTAGGTGCAGACACCCCAAATCCATTTCCTCTTTATTTAGAAGTAAACCTCTTTTTGAATTATCTCCTCAGGCCTTGGTCTGTTTTCTTAGGAGATGTGGAAATAACAACCAAATTTTTCCCCAGCATTAATGACTATTGATTATAAGACATCACGACATTTTCCATTTCATTATAGGTAAGTGAAAGTGTTTTGTCAGCATCCTTTTGAAGATCACGCACCAGTATTTGTCTCCAATACAGTCCATAATAGTAATGGTTATATCACTGAACTGAGGGTGGGAGGGTTATGGAAGTGGCAATACTGAAAGTTTGTGAAACGTGTATTGTTGAACTGATAAAATTAGGTGGCCCCTGTAACATATACTGTTATTTACTTCTGTTCATCTGCCTGTCATAATATCTGAGATGGAAGTATTGAAGAAAGATTCATTTGATAGAATTTCAAGTAGGAGAGAACTGAGGGCCTCCTAGGATAACACTGTATATGCATGTTATTAATCCATCTTCAACTATTATAAGAAATGAAAAATTATTCTTTATATGAACACATCTACTAATTAGAAACATTCTCATATGAGTCAGACCTACCTGTTTTGAACTTTAAGTAGACCAAGACATTATGTACTTTTGTGTCTAACTTTTTTAGTCAATATTAAGTTTATAAAATTATCTTTCTCTATGGAAGCTGTCCAAATTTTTTTATGTCATTTTCTTTAGAAAAAATAGATTTTTGTCTCTGTGGATTCTTAGACTGTATCTCTGTGATGTCAAAATTTTTTTTTCAGATGTTACATTTCACTTTTAAGTGAAATTTTAATTTTTAATTTTAATAAATTTTTAATTTATGTAGTTAGATGTATCAATGCGTTGAACATCTCCTGGACAACTCTCACCCCCAACCTAGCTCTCCGTTATTTGTGAAGTTGTTGTATCGTCTATGTTATTTTTAATGATTCATGAAAACCCAGGCACGTGAATAGAAATTGGAATCTTGAAAACTTGAAGTGTTATTGAGAAATCAAATTAGCACTCAGTTCCTTGATTGATCTCTATTTCTCTCCTGTACAGGTAACTGATTTCAAAATCAATGAATGGGACAAATCAATCTCGGGTGACAGAATTTGTATTACTGGGACTCTCTAGTTCAAAGGAGCTCCAACCTTTGTTTTTTCTCATATTCTCACTACTTTATTTAGCAATTCTGCTAGGAAACTTTCTCATCATCCTCACTGTGACCTCAGAATCCCGCCTTCATACACCCATGTACTTCTTGCTTGCAAACCTCTCATTTGTAGATATATGTGTTGCTTCGTTTGCTACCCCCAAAATGATTGCAGACTTTCTGGTTGAACGCAAGACTATTTCATATGATGCCTGTCTGGCCCAGATATTCTTTGTACACCTCTTCACGGGCAGTGAAATGGTGCTCTTAGTATCCATGGCCTATGACCGTTATGTTGCTATATGCAAACCTCTCCACTACATGACAATCATGAGCCGCCGGGTGTGTATTATTCTTGTCCTCATCTCCTGGTGTGTGGGCTTCATCCATACTACTAGTCAGCTAGCATTTACTGTTAACCTGCCTTTTTGTGGTCCTAATCAAGTAGATAGTTTTTTCTGTGACCTTCCTCTAGTGACCAAGTTAGCCTGTTTAGACACTTATGTGGTCAGTCTACTAATAGTCGCGGACAGTGGCTTTCTCTCTATGAGCTCCTTCCTGCTCTTGGTTGTTTCCTACACCGTGATACTTGTCACAGTTAGGAGTCGTTCCTCTGCCAGCATGGCAAAGGCCCGCTCCACATTGACAGCTCACATCACTGTGGTTACACTATTCTTTGGCCCATGCATTTTCATCTACGTCTGGCCCTTCAGCAGTTATTCAATTGACAAAATCCTTGCTGTATTCTACACCATCTTCACTCCCATCTTAAATCCAGCTATCTACACATTAAGGAACAAGGAAATGAAGGCAGCTATGTCAAAACTGAAGAGTCAGTATCTGAAGCCTGGCCAAGTTTCTGCAGTTATAAGAAATGTTCTTTTCCCGGAAGCAAAATAAACTTGTGAGACCGTTACCCCTTTATCCCTGTCTCTAGACATTTGCAGATGGACTTACTGTGATGTTAAATTTTTCTGGCCAGCAGGACAAGCTCAAAGAGTAACTTGAATTAAACAGTAATGTTGATAATAAAAACTCATAAAATAAACCTTAGCAATTTTCATATTCTCTTTCCTCATTGTGTGATTTTTTTCCTTTTTATAATTTCCTATTTTTTTCTCTTTATTTTAAAACTTTTTAATATATAGGCTTTGATGACATCAGGAAAATGGAATTTACTAATAAATGGTAACTCAACTGTTTCTCTCTGAAAACTTTAATAATTGGGGTTTATCTCTATAGTTATAAATATAGATATAATATAACTTGGTAAGACTGAATTTCACGCCATATGTAACCGACAGCACATGAAGACAATTCCATGACTGGTTTTAACAATAAAGTAAAATGTAAAATAGCATAGCCATCTAGCAGAAGGCAATTGTATCCAATATTTTCACAAATCATTCTTCACAGGGGCTATTTAATGTATATTGTTCAAGGAAAACTACCTGAATAAATTTATCCACCACCATGTTTTGTATTTGGTTCTTTTCATTTCTTTTTAATACTGATAAATAATCTAGGGAAATGAGTTATAACTCTCTACCATTTATCTTAGTATGAAAAATTCTTTCTTCATAGGTCTTTATGATATTATCTTCTCAGGTACAGTAATTTTTATATCAGTACTAGATAGAAATTGTTATTTTTCTATGTGGGTTTTTTTTTTTCTTTTTGAGACAGAGCCTCAAGCTGTCCTCCTGAGTAGACTGCGATGGCATCACAGCTCACAGCAACCTCCAACTCCTGGGCTCAAGTGAGTCTCCTGCCTCTGCCTCCCAAGTAGCTGGGACCACAGGTGCCCACTACAATGTCTGGCTATTTTTTGGTTGAAGCCATCATTGTTGTTTGGCGGGCCCAGGCTGGATTCGAACCTGCCAGCTCAGGTGTATGTGGCTGGTGCCTTAGCCACTTGAGCCATAGGTGCTGAGCTTTCTATGTGGATTTTAATCAACATTTTATTTTTAAATTGGCTAACACAAGCTCATAAAATGACAGAACCCTTTTCATATGTTTGTAAGCCATGTGCCTGTCTTCTTCAGAGAAGCTTCTCTTCAAGTCTCTTGCCCACCCTGAGAGGGGATCACTTGTTCTCTTCTTGCTAATATGTTTGAGTTCTCTGTGGATTCTGGTTATTAAACCTTTGTCAGAGACATAACCAGCTTTATAGCTTTCATAGGAAACCTATAACCCAATTTTAGCCCAGGAATATGGGGAGAGGGGAGAGAGAGGGAGGGGAGGGAGGAGGGTGGGTGGAGAGAGGGTGATTGGTGGGATCATGCCTATGGTTCATCCTATAAGGGTACAAGTGAATCTCTCTAAATGTAGAATATAAATGTCTTAACACAATAACTAAGAAAAAGACATGAAGGCTATGTTAACCAGTTGGGTGAAAGTATTTCAAATTGTATGCAGAAACAGTACACTGTACCCCATGATAGTATTAATGTACACTGCTATGATTTAATAATAATTTTAAAAAATGACAGAACCCTTCCATAAGGTCTTAGTAATAGTCAATAATTTATCCTTCCATGTTCACCTATAAGACCAAGAAAGTTGGGGATTCTCCACTACAGGATACTTTCAGCTTTCTCTCTCTTATTGCATTCAGATCCATTGCTATATTTTCCTACTGTGTTCTAGATTTACAATCTGGTATGATGTTTCCAAGACTCTAATATTTATAATCTCCTAAAGGGATTCTATGGATTTTATTAGTGAAAGAGAAAAAAAGCTTATAAGTCAAAGGGTCCCAAGTTATTCAACACACAATAAAATGAAAATAAAGACAAATATGTGTAAGCATCTAACTATTTATGTACTCAAACTTTTTACCAGAATACAGCACTCTTATAATTCTACAGCATTTTTGCACACTGTTGTAATTTTATGTATAAAATAATCAATAGATCGTTGTGGTGCTAGTAAAATCATAACATAATAAACATAAGTATCTCTGTGAGATATTTATTCTGTTCATTTTATACACAGTATAAATAAGGTTAAGAAGTTAAGGATATTATGCAAGATTATACAGTTAGAAAGTGGCAGAGTGATTTCCTATCTGGGTTTTTGTTGTGTATTGTTTTCTGGTTTCTTCTTGGCTTAATTGGCACTTTTTAAGCTCCTGCTAATAGAGGAGGAAAGTAGGAGACAGGGCTGAGACGATGAGTGGGCTGTAGAATTGGATACAGATGTTAAAATAATTCTTAGCCTACCTGCAGGAACTGATAATCAAGGCAAGAACTGCATTCAGTCAGTTGGTTAGCTCTCTCTGCCACCTTATATGAACTTTGGCTAATTACAATACCATTTACGCTGTGTTTTAAAATTTCTCTACCCTTAAAATTACTATGACAGTTCCAAAACAACCATATAAAGGAGGAAACTCAATTCTAGGAATTCCTACCCCAATCCTTAGTAAAAGCCAATGCCTATATTCTCCAAACTTGTGTCTCCCTTAAGTTTGATAGCATAAAAAGAAAAAAAGAATTTCTATTCTTTTGTAACACTGTCTGGCCCAAATATAATCTGGATGACAGGGAGTTCTGACTGGTCAATGATAGTCTAAACTATAACATTGTACTATCCTCCATTTAGAATTATTTTGCAAATGACAGAAGACATGGGCAGACATTCTTTATATTCAGGTGTTTTCTTCTTTTTTTTTTTTATTAAATCATAGCTATGTACATTAATACTATCATGGGGTACAGCGTGCTGTTTCTATATACAATTTGAAATACTCTCATCCGACTGGTTAACATAGGCTTCATGTCATTTTCTTAGTTATTGTGTTAAGACATTTATATTCTACATTTAGAAAGATTCACATGTACCCTTATAGGATGAACCATAGGTGTGATCCCACCAGTTACTCTCCCTATATTCAAGTATTTATGGCCTTACAGAAATATCCAGAGACACAAGGAGCATATTGGAATGTAAAACTAGTTTCTTGACTCAAACCTTGCAACTTTTCTTTACCTCATCTCAGAAAACTCTAAAGCCCCAATGGAGTCTCCCAAATAAGGACCAGAACTCATTGAAAGAGTTCCAGCTCCTGACCTTGAACCCCTACCTTACCCACTTTGGCCCTAAACCCAGCCCTGTGTCCTTTACAGAAGGTAGTCACAAGCCAATGGAGCGCCACTAGAATACATGTCCTTCTTTTATATCATACCTTAAATAGAGCCAGGCAAGCCTTGCCTAGTTTTCTGAAGAACCAGAAAAGTTTACTGAGAAATTTCAGAGCCTAACTCTTTCCTCTGATGTCACATGAAGATACTGTAATGTAATTCTCTCTCATTGTTGCACTGCAGAAGAAACAGTGTGTATTTGGGCCCAGGCACAAGCTTTAGAGGACCTCTTAAATATTGCCCAACTTCTCCAATACCCTGTGGGAGTGACAACTGTCCTGCTTCAGGATCCCTACTAAAACTACCCACAAAGACAGTGGGGAGTAAGACTCCTAGTCACATGGCTCATAAAAGATGCACGATTAAGCCTGTTAACTGTAATAAGGTGAGAGAAGTGACACAGAGCCTTGATAAAAAATCCAGCACTTTTTGAGTCTTAACAGGTTAATAATGTCATCCACAGATAATGCTTTTAGTAGGTAAGAAAGTGAGACATGAGTACAGAAAATACAAAAACAGACAACTTAAATTAATAGGATGCTGAATAAAAAAATACTATAACAATAACAAGATAAGGTAACTGCAAATGTCACAAGAAACATAACAAAAAAAAACACAAGGCAGATTATATGTTATGACAGTTTACCCACCCATCTGGCTTTGACACCACCACACATCCAGGACTAACCACAGAAGGTGGAAAAACTCCCCCTCCTGTTGATCAAGAACAAAGGGAAAGATAAAACGCCATGAAGGAGGCAGGACCAGACAGGAGAAAAAGGAATGACGCAGAAACCCCAGGGCTACCATTTGTTAGAACGTGTGCTGGTTCATACCCTCTTAGGAGAGTGCTGTTGGTTACTAATAAATTTCTTTGCTCCATGGTTTAAATTTTTCTGTCCCTGGGCTTCATCTTTGATCATGAGGAGACAAGAACTGAAGTAATTTACTACCAATGTAGACCCAGCAGCACCTCAGGGAACTGTAGTGGTGAACTCATTTCATCAGTCAGTCAGCCCCAGACAGGAGAAGAAAACTCCATATATTAGCCTTGGGGCCCCAGACTCTCCAAAATACTCTCCTAAACATTACTTTCAGTGTGTTCAACAACCAAGATAAGACAGAGCAGGAGAGGCAGAACCAGCGTGATTAGGCATGTCCAGAGGCATGCCAATTTTCAGCAGCTGTGTTAAGCAGACCCTGGCCACCTCATCAGGGCCACCCAAACCACCCTGGGTGATGATAATCCAATAATAGATACCTCTGCTGTGGATATGAAAGGTCATTGCAACCAGAAATGCCCAAACCCTAATCCTCTTCCCACCAGTCCTTGTTCCCTGGTCAGAAAATAAGGACCATCTCATTCCCCACCTAAGACTATGGCTGAATAGTGGGGCTAAAGTTCCCAGCAGCTCTCTCAAATGCCATCACTATCACAGGGGAGTAAATATGGGTGACCCTTGACATGGCAGGCAACCTTGTAACCTTTTTAATAAACAAGAGAGGTACTCATTCTGTTTTAACTTCTCATTCTGAGCCTGTCTCTCCATAAAAGCACTCAGTTGTTGGGATCGATGGAGTCCTACCCCAGCTATCTCTGCAAATGGGGAAATAACTTAATTACTCACAAATTCTTGATTATGCCTCAATACTTTACTCTTTTATTAGGCAAAGACTTGCTTTCAGCTTTTGGGTTACCATGAGCCTCCCAGAGGTCTAAGGCCTTTTCTTGGCCTATTTATATCATACTTAACCTAACATCCTCTCTCAGAATTGGAGGGACAGGGTTTTTAAAGACAGTTTGATGGGCAGAGGGCT